CAGAAATCTCAATGACGGGGAAAGAAATATGGAACGAAAACAAAAAAAAAAACACAAAAAATAAAATAAAAGTGTGTGATAAGCGATAAAGCAATTGCGGCCCATGCGGCGTATGAGTAATGGTTAAATATGTCTGGCGGGGCTTTTTCACTGTTCGCAGGGGAATGGGGTAAAAAGAAAAAAGGTAGTTAAGTAAGGTGGCTCATAGTCATTTAACCCCCGATTGGCTATATCAAATCAGCTTTGACACAAATTGATATGCATGCCTTTTCTTAACTGAAGTGAATTGAGTGGTAAACCAGCTTTCCCCTTTGACATATTTATATTTCGATTTCGAATTTAATAACTAATTATATAGAACTAGCAATGACTTTTAATTACTTACTTCTGTTTAGCTAAAAAAACGCCTTGATTGAGTTGGCAAAGCTCAGGTAGTAGTCATGGTCATGGATTCCCTCAGTTTTCCCAGATTCCCAAGTATAAGTTGAAGTCGCCAAGTAGAAATCTCCCAATGCCGATGACGGGTAATACGATACTGGATTGTGCGGTTACATAACCCGATGTGCACATGATTCGTAGATAAAAGACTCGAGACAAATAATAACAATTCACACACATCGATAGCTGTGCGCACCTGTATTGCTGTATCTCAGTATCGCTGTATCTTTGTATCTTTGTAACTTTGTGTATTTCTCTCGGAGATAATGTGATATAAAACGAAATCTTCAGCTCAAAACCAAACGGGTTTTGCTCACATCAAAAAAGAAGCGATTAAAGCCGCAATACAGTCTACGAAGAAGGCCAAAATAAAATCATAATAATTATATATTTCATATACTACTATATATATATATATATATATTATATATACGTAGGCTTCATACGAATTCGTTGCAATTAAGTTGGCAAGTTCCCTCATTGAAATATTTAAAATCAACATATTTGCATTTTAATGTTAATCATTTAATGGCCAATTAGTGTGTCTTCCACGAAAGTGTGAATTTTCCGTTCGGCCATCAGAACTGTTGGATACCCTTTTTTCTCTACCCATTTTGGGGCAATTAAATTTTAATTGCAAAAATCACATAATAAATTCGTTCGAGCGAAGGGGGCATTGTTATTGCTCTTTTTTTTTGTTATTTTCCCTGTTTATTATTTTGCTGTTCACTGTGTCTGGTTAAAGGCCAGGGCCAAAAGCAAGCTACAAAGGCTGAATTCAAAATCACAACAAATGGCAAACATTTGGCGTTTTTACCTGGCCTTCATTGAGGATTCAATAAACTTGTCTGCGAAATGCGAGACTGGGACTTCAAGTAAGATAACTCTGATTATTTTTTGAATAAGTCATATCATTTAATATTGAATTTGAACTTTATTAGTTTAACTCATCTCAAGTTCTAAGTTATATTTAATCAATCATAAAATCATAAAATAGATTCTATAAAAATATGAATTTTTGTTTTGTTTTTACAATAAAATTAGAATGCTAAATTTCCACTTTTAACATAGAAAAAACAATAATTTGATGTTATTGATTCAAAATTAGTTTTAGATATATGGAGGTTAGCTAAAAAATCCCCTGTAAAATAGACATAAACTTTGTTTAGCATTGGAAATACATATGAAATTCGGTGGAAAGTTTTCATAGAACCCGATTTGCGGTTTCGAGCTCTCTCGCTGGCAATTGAAATCCATCGATTCCAGCAACAATTCCGGCAATTCCACCTGCAGTTTGGAAGCCCAGGAAGTTGGCGGCCACTTTTCACCCACAATATTGTACTTGGTTTTACTAACGTAGTTGTTGTTGTTGTTGCTGCTGCTGCCTCTGGTTGCAATCGGTTGCTGTATGTTGCAGGCACTTCTCACGTGGTTTCTGCAATTTGAGTGCACTTTGGTTTATTGTTTATCGATTTGCTTGCGGGCAATTAAAGCCCCCATCTCTTTTTCGAATCACCAACTTACACCCTATACCTATACCCAACCACCCACAACTTTTCATTCCGCCAGTGTGGGATTGAAGATTTTCAGTGCAGGGCAGACGACCCATTAAACGGAGAAGTTTTCCTCCATCACCTCCGCTACTCGCCGCCTCTTGAAATGTGTGAAGTGCCACACGAGCAACGTAACAAGAAACTCTGAAAAAAAAACAAATATACAAATTGAAGCTCTGCCCACTCGACAGGTTGATGCCCTGTATAAGCAAAGAAAACGTTTATTATTTACTTTGTAGAGTTTAAAAATATCAAAATAATACTGGTTCAAGGCACCTGCCTGATAAGCAAATAACAAAATATATATCTTATTGCAAGATTTACAACTGCAATTTCACTTTAAAGATCACCCAGCATGACACACAACTAACACACACATTTCGGGTAATTAAGGTGGTGATAAAGGTTTATTTACTTAATAGACCTAACAATAAAAACTTACACTCATACTCGTTGCTGGGGCATCATCTAAAAGTTAACAACTGAGCAACAAACAGCAATTTGTTGGAATAGTTTATGCACTCCCCCTATTTCTATCACGCTCTCTGCCAAACGACACAAACACAAAATGGCACTAAACTGAGAATTTCCTTTTTATTTGCAAATAAAATAGACATGAGCCCTTGTAAAGTGAACGTTTTGTCCACAAATAGGATTTAAATATTAAATAATATTTGCCAAGTGAATGAGTGAATTATTTATACGAATATGCAACCTACTTCCGATCCGTTAAACTATCTATCCGATTGGGTATACCTTCGATTTACCCATTCCGTTCGGCCTCACCTGTCGTCTTTGGCCGCAAGACCTATTAATGGCTAATTAAGGTTAATAATATTGCACAAACACTCGACACAACGCATGAGAGCAACGTGCTCGGACATCAACAAATGGCGGACAGCGGACAAGCGGACAAGCGGACAAGCGGACAAGGGACAACGAACAACCATACTACCGGACGGACAATAACGGACACCTGTGATGGCTTCGTCAACAGCTTGGTACTCGATTACGAGCATTTGCATGTGTCAAAGGGGCGGTGTTCGATGTCCGCCCTTTGGCAATATACCCCCCCCTAGAATTCACTATCCTTCACCGCTTCTCTTCACTTTCTCCAAGCGGACATGAACTCAATCGGAATCGCAATTGCCCGGACTTGAAGAGGCGCTCGACTGACACGGCATGTCAAGACTTATGAGAGGAATGCCCCAAAGGGGCGGTGCCGCGGAAATGAATGACACAAACGCAAGGCACACACATGGACACCCCGCCACCCACACGAACAGGGACACGCACAGGGTCACACAAACACAAATACAACACAAACACATACTCTCGCTAGCACAAATGAGATTAAAAGTCAGAAACTTGGAGCTCGGAAAACGCACGATAGTTGCTCCAACTCGCAAAAAAAGCCCCCGCACCAACCCTTCGCCCACATGCAGTAAAACCCCATACACTCGGCAAAAATATTCCATTCAGATATTGCTTGGGATCAGGATGATAAAGATCATGGGGATAGTCCTCTCTATGAAAAACTTATTAAAACTTTGAAAATAAAAAACCAAATCAAAATTGACTACTAAAGTTCTTATTTTACAGTCGCTAAAACAAATCCTTTTTATATTATAAAATTAATATTATTTATGCTAAAATATATTTAAGTATTTTAGGGAATATATATTTGGCAAGTGTAGAAGGGGGTTGAGGGGGCTGTAGGTTCAACGACATGTAGCGACATCGAGGCTGACAACGCGGCGCCTAATTGGATCTGGCCCGAGCGCTCCACTTTTGCCCGGGCAAGCAAGGAAGGAAGGGGGATGGGTTGAGAAAGGGGATGGATAGGGTGGTCATGATGGTGGCTAGGGGGATGCGACCTCGGATCGAGGGCGTCTTTAGCCCCATACGTACCCCACCCAGTAAAGCCCACCGCTTTTCGACGCAATCAACAGCCGAAAACGCAAGGGCAGCGAAATGAAATTAAAGCCGAGGTCATGCGGGGGTTGCTGCTTAGTGGGTGGGTGGATTGGATGGATGGATGGGTAGAGGTATGGCTTGGGTTTTTTAAGGGAGTGCAGCCGAAAAAGCAATAAAAGTGACAAGAAAAGTTCAAGCGCTGAGTGGGCGACGAAGAAGAAGAAGAAGAAGAAGAAGAAGGATAAGAAGAAGGATAAGGACAAGGAGCTGGCTGATGGAGAAAGTGGATTTTGGCAACGAAAGTGGGGTAGTCGTAGGAGTTTGTGTTGTCGTTTCTGTCAGCAACCAGCAAATTTTTAGCAAAACTTTAAGACCTCCCCAACCTACCCCCTTGGAAAAACACACACACACACACACATACATACATACACTTGACTTGAGGGGGGGAAAAGGAGGTTGGAGTTGCTTGCTTGGCTGATTCTCAGGCATAAAAACGATTCCCCGGCGGCAACATTTTGTGGCCTGTGAATGCACTCATGAATATGTATCGAACGATTCGTTTAGAGCGCCGTGAATGCAGCGAATGAGCGTTCGGGGAATCACCGAAAACCGAAAGGACTAAGCCGGAATGATGCCTTTCATCATGGCGAAAATCATTGCTTAGGTCAGTGCCGTAAATTCCCCAACCAACGACGACGACAGGCGGATTTCGTCACCAGACTGGAAAATATTGAAGTGTAATTTATTCCCCTCTTATATATGGGATTGAATTTGTATCATAAAAGTTAGGATAAAACTTTACATTTTTTTAAATTAAATAGAATTTATAGAATAATTTGTATTTAAAATTGTATAGTATGCTTGTCCCCCGACCTTGTTCTATGACTATGATTTTTGTGGCAATTTTGTGTGCTGTCGGTCTTTCATTACAGAAACGGAATTAAACTATCGATTTTGGGTGCTTCTTTCTGCTTGACAGATCACAGCAATTAAGCGTGTCTGACCACACCCACACTTTTAATTTGGCTTAAATGCTAAATGTTTAATGTGCCTGAATTAATTATTCCTTTCATTTGCCTTCTTCTTTTGCAGCCTGGGATATTGGCAACTCGGTGCAGGACGCCTTCGTCATCGCTGTTGAGGAGCACGCCCGCGAACGTCTGCAGAGATTGGCGGCCTTGAACCGGGTCACGCCCGTCGACATCACCCAGCTGTCCAAAAAGGTGAGTGACCCAAAATGGGGCTTTCTTTAATTTATATTTGTGGATTTCTCAGGAATTTTCGGGAAACTTTTGAAATTCGTATAGGGTTAAGGTTAAGGATAATTTATAGAGACTTAGGAAGTTTTTGATTTTTCAGAACTTAATCAAGACTTGGATGTTTCGGTTTATGTGTCACTTTTAATGACAGATATCTTAGCCGATTTCTGACATCTTTTCTTCATAGTATTCTGCTAAAATCAACATAAGCCCAACTTATAGGAAACTTTTATGTGAAATCCATAACTTCTATAAATTACAAACAACTTTTTTAACCGGAAACGTAACGTAATACTTTTGAAAAATGAGCCATCTGCATATGCATACATTTATTCGAATGCCAATTCAGATTTATAGTTCGAAAAATGCGTCAAGAAGTTGTGTTTCCTGTTCCAGGACCAACTTATTGCCTCTGTCAAGGGACATTAATAACCATACGTTTCCTAGAAATTCTTGTGCCATTTTAAGATTCTTCCTTGACTATATTAATAGCGTGTGGGCTTCCGGAGGATGCACTCTTTACGTTAGCAGGATGTGCATATTCGATTCTGAAATAAAAAGGCAAATCGGTCTGGGAAATTCTCCGGAAATGTTGTTTTTTTTTTGTTTTTCTAGTTGGTTCAAGCGGCACGTGGCAGTGATGCAAACATTGAATGCCAGCTATTTATTTGCAGGCTGTGAGCTTGCCAGACTAAAATTGAAATGGAAAACGTTTTATCAAAACAGCTTTCTATCACACACGGCGCAGAGTCCGAGTCCCAGTCCACAGTTATTGGCATAACTGAGTGACCGGGCGGTCGTGGTGCCCCTCCCATATACCAAATACCAAAATGCCAAATAGAAAATACAAAATGCAAAATGAAAAAATGAAAAAAAAAAAAAAAATGGAAGAAGCATGCTCTCGCAAAATTCAATTAAAAATTCAACAAAACCAACACACGAGCCAGAAGGCAGTGGACATTCGACTGAAACTAAAAGTGGAAACAAAAACAGGTAGAGAAACTAAAGTAAAAAGTGTAAAAAAAAAGAGTGCATAAAACAAAGAAAAGCTACAAAACAACAAACGTTGTATAAACTTCGAAAACAGAAAACAAAATACAAAAAATTGCCATCAAAAGTTACGCAAAACATAGTGAAAAGCAAAACCAAAAAATAAAAATAAAATAAAAACAGTAGCAAAAAAAAAAACAGAAAAAACAAAAGTAAATGCAAATCAAATATGTGGGTAATTGAAAGTGAACGCTGCTGCAATCCCATTTGCATGTGCGACCCAAAGAGCGAGTGTATTCAGATTCGCTCTCCAAACTTACATAACAGCGATCTCTGCGATTAGCCACACTAAGAAAAAATATACCCAAAAATGTTTAGAAAATTGCAACTTTATAAATTGTGTTTGTCAGTTTGAAATTGGAATAGAATTTGCAAACATTTCCTTCGGCTTATAGAATTAAAATAACATAATAAAACCCCTAACTAGTACCTCAAAGTAACCCCAAATACAAACTAGATATATATTTATATAATGCTAAAATCAAATATAATAATAAAAAAATTGCCCACTTACCTTAATTTCCTGTTCGCCGCAGTCAATTTTTGGTGAAATATGTATTCATCATAAATATCCAGCATCTACGTCATCAAAAATTACAAAAATGAATTTCCGAAAAAATTCTTGATGCACTGCATCCTCCTGGTGTCCATAAGGTGCCACCAGTATGATAGGGTACCATCACCACGTCATCCATACCACTTGAAGGCACTTTACTAACACAAACACACACACACCGAAATGAGTTGACTGATTTTTGGGTGGTCCGCAGAGCCTAGGTGGCTACTTTTGGGCTAGAACCAGTTGGGAATTATATATACACCCTAGAGTTCAAAAATTTTGACTTAACTAGAATTAACATAAAATATCAGTTAGCACTGAAATTTATATTAACATAGTCGTTAATATTAGAATTTGCCGGTGACTTCTGTTAACTAACATTTCTGTTAACATCCAACTGTTTCCGTTGATCTTCAAGTTATCAAGCCATCTAAGTAATTATTTTCAAATAAATAAAAATAATCTAAGACATTGTGCAGCTTGATCTGATTTTTTCACGTGTAGCCTTTTATATTTCGGTCAGTAAATAAGTACATTAGCTATTCACTGTGCATATTTACTGCTTTATTGCGTTAAAGTTAAAGCACAGAAGATCGCGCTGAATAAAATGAAATCATTTGAATGCAAATTACAACGATTACATGTACTCATTCCATAATCGTTCGATTTCGTACATTCCCATTAATTTCTGTGTATTTATCTGTATTTTAAATCACTATTTTAACTACTTTACTTAAATAATAATTCAAATTGATTTATGGCAATGCATTTACTTACTAACATAGCTATCAATATGAAAAATAATAAATTTTTTAAAAAAAAACCGCCAACAAGTTAGTAGAAAGAAATCTTTTGCTTTTGTATTCAAAAATAGGTACTAGTTGTACAAAATTTATAAAAAAAAAACGAAAGTATTTACAATTCAACAAGAGCATTTCACTGGCAAAGTGTTCTTAAGTGATTGAATTGAGTGCATTTGTTGTGCCCAATAATTTGGTCACTCGTTTTGGTTGGCAAATGCGGGAGGGAAATCGCCCAGTTTGAGAGTCACTTTGCATTGGTATGGCTGATGATGATGATGGTATTCCACGCATTAACCGCATTGAGTGCCAGCGCCAAACCCAAACTCAAGCCACCCCCCTCTGGATACCCATGGATATCCCTCGTACTTCCAGCAATTTTAAGCGCATCAAGTGCTTTTGTCATCATCGTCATCACAGTTCAACGCTCCAACAATTGCTTTCAGCTCTTCGGACGTCCACTGGAATGGGGGTCAGGTGCGGTACTCGGCTTGGGTTTGGTATGAATCTGGGGATCTGGGTTGGGTTCAGTTTGGTTTGGTTTTTTGGACTGGATTGGATTGGGTTACTCCTCCATCGGGAGTGGCAAAGGAGGAGTGGGTATGCTATTTTTTTTTTTCGAGTCTAGGATGCGCTAGAGTGGCGCTGCGGGGCAGTGAGTGAATCGTTTGTTGCCAGGCCAACCGAACAAATGATTTTGCATACACAAACAAACGTGAATATGCATATCAGTACACTGAGCGTTAAACTCGCAAAAAAAAAAAATTAAATAATTTTCCGGGTATTTAATAAAAAGTCATTTCCATATGCAATTAGTGGGCAATAAAATATATGCTTTCAAAAATGTTAAAAAGTCCTGTAAACATATTTTTACTTTAAAACAATGTAAGCTCAGTTTTTGTTATTAAATTTAAAAATGTGAAAGATATTACATGGAGTTTGACTCCATTAGATTCGTGATCCTTTTTAATGCTCATTTAAATGGCTTTTTATATCAGGATTTAATTGAGATAATATTTTTTCTCTTCGTGTATTGATATTCATCGATTTATCCGTTAAGTGCTGAAGTGCGTAGATGAAGAGTGTGGATAGGGGGTGGTAGATGGTGCTATGGTATATATAGTATATGGGAACTGGGAGCTATGGAGCTGTGACTGAAGCCACGGCACTTCACTCCGCCATCGAGAGAATCCACAAGCCGATGCGGTAGACTGACAAACCGACTTGGCTGTCAATAATCCGATAAAATGCGAATAAAAAATAAGCTCACGGCGGATGGGTAATTCTGTATGGTTCCTCAAAAAAGGAAAAAATACACATACAGATATATATCTGCCATAGAGAGTAAAGTGGGAATGTGCCACAAGCATTACGTATGGAGATCCCCCGACTCAGTAGGTTTTCCTTTTTTTTTGCTTATATGTTTTTAGTCCCCCCAACTTAGACATCTCATCCTCAGGTAATTGCATCAAAAGAGACCCATAATTCAACTTGTTGATTTATTTTCACTTTTTTCTGTATGCTGACACTTAGCTATTGGCATTAGGGCGCGACTTAACCGGCAGATGAAGGTTAAGGCCAATTGGATTGGCTAAAATGTATGAGATGGCCTAAAGGCGACTTAATTGGCTGATTCTGAGCGGAGGAGTCGGTTTGACAGGCATTGAATGTGTTGGGTTATTGTTGACTGTTCTGGATGTGCATTGTTGTGGGTGCAGTTTTTTTTTTTGCTTACCACACATATACCAAATACAAACCTGGCTCAGACGCAGACACACCCACACACCTACACACCCACAGACACGCACACGCACTCATAACGTTCAGCCACATCCATTATGTGTTCGTCGCATTAATAATTCATATTTCATTAGGGGAACAGCATCAATAAAACCATGACTTCAGAGGGGAATGGCGTGTGACATGGGGGGCGTTACTTGGTTAGCTTTATTTTAATGGAATTTGATTGATTTGCATATATGCGAAACGAAGCCTGTCAGCGGCGTTAAATGATGACAGTTTTCAGTTGTTATTTATTTTCGGGTTATGCTGCCACAATGAAAAGTGAAAAATGTGTGGTTACTCAATAGTTTGACATCCTGTTGGGGCATTAAAATAGCATCGTCAATGGGCTATTTTTTGACATTTTTAGCAGTAGATCTAAAAAAAACTATTAAAAATCCATATTTTAAATGTTTTTTCGTGGTAATAAATGTGGTTTTCAAATTTGAAATTTTTTTTGAAAATTTTCTATGGGGTACCCTTTTAAAAAATTGAATTTTTCTAATGATTGTAAAACTGTCAACTCTTTTCAATTCTGAAGCTGATTTAGAACAATTTCGTACCGTTATTTCCTGTTGTAAGCTTTCTATGTTGATCAACATCTTTTCCCTGATTTTTCCATGCTCTTTGTTGGATAGTTGCAACAAACGAAGAGTGGCACGACAACGAGTCAGCGGCAGGATCTTAGCTTCCTGAACGAATCGACGCCAATCTATGTGACATCCTTCACGAGCAACCAGATTACCTGCAGTAGTTCCACCATGACGACGGCCACCGCTGGTGGACCGATTAGTGCACCATCCTTGGCGACGGCCACCACCACCGTGCCGACAGCATCATCGCACACCACCACTGTGGTGGCTCAAATCGAACATGGAGCATCGGCGTTGGTTAGTGCCGCTGTGGCAGCTGCAACTGCTGCCGATCGAAATGCCAATAATACCACATCGGCGGCCCTGAAACAGACGGCCAATTGTATTGGCAATAGCATCACAACTAGTAGTTCCACCAACAGTGCCACGGGACATATTTATCAAACCAGCCAGGCGCAACAGCAGCAGTTGCAACAATTGCAGCAGCAACTCGCTGCGGCGGCAGCGGCTGGTAAGCCCCTACAGGCCAAATCCCTGTTGGCCAGCAGTTTGCAACATCTGGCCGAGGAGGTGGACAACGAGGATCTGGACGATGATGATGATGTGGATGGGGCCAACTATTGTGGGATAACGTATATAAGTTATAACAACAAGCATGCCCAGTTGCCGACGACCACATTACCAGCCACAACCGCCTTGCCAGCAGCAGCTGCCACATTAGCAACCACAGCGGCGATCCACCAACAAAGGCAGCAGCAAAGTCAACAGCAGCAGCAGCAAGTGCACCACCACAACCACCCACCAACATCAAGTACACTCAATCGACCCACGGCGCCGGCACCACTGCAACTTGGAGGTCCTGTGAATCCCAGTTTTGTGGATGCCCAGACATCCACTTCACCGCTGATGGTGCAGCAGCAGGATGTGGCACAACCGCCAATTTCGACATCATCATCGGTGGTGATGGTGGAGCGGCATGTACATGGAACCACTACGCCAAAAACGGAGTACTCCACCGCCATTTCAAGTGGCCAATTGCAGCAGGCATTTGCCGAATTGCAGCTGCACTCCAGCAACAATAATGCAACCCAACAGCAGCAACATTTACTTTTAAGCAACAACAATAATAGCAATAATTCAATGGCAGCGGCACAAACAACAGCATCTCTGATGAAGAATTGTGATCTACTGATATCGAACAATCTGTATCCACCGAGAAGAGAGGTAAAGGTGCTGCAGATATATATCTATATAGCCTACCATTTGTTTTCTTTTCTTTTTTGATTTTTAAGGAAAATTCAGCACGAAATGTGATTGATTGATTTTGTTTAACTTTCATCGATTATATTCGTTCGATTTGTTTCTGGTTCTTGTTGAATGTTGTTTTACAGATTGATTTTGTGGTTGTTCAGGAATTTATTTAATTTGGCTAATAATTGCATTTATTATCCAAACAGACGTCGATTACTTTATTTGGTTTTGCATGGGATTGCCTTTGATTGAGTTTTGTTAGTTTTTACTTATATTACTTATTTAAGTTTATCTCTATTTCATTATTAATAATAGTTATTTACTCCACAGTTACTAGAAGAAGTCATAGTCCATCAAGCCAGTGATGTCCATTCATACGGCGCGAGTGCAACAGCAGCAATTGCCAGCAGCAGCAACAGATCACAGCAGCAACATCAATTGCTGAGTGCCGCTTACGAGTTGCAGCAGCAGCAGCAGCAACAGCAATTACAACAACTGCAACAGCAGCAACAGAACAGTCCCACAAGTAGCATATCAATAGGAAGAACTGAACTTTTACTGGGCGATCAGAGTCTGCGGCAGGATCCCAGAGGGTGAGTTTCGTTATAATAACTTAGTACAATTGAAAATTATTCTAAAATCTTACTATATAAAAGGAATATATAATAAGTCTTAGATTAACAAGACGAGGGACTATTTCATATAGGGTTTTATAGAGAAAGTATCAAATAGGTCGTTCATGATATTGTACATTTAACAGCCACTGTGTCCTTGCTAAATAACCTATAAGTAAAATAATGAAGCCTAACTTGCAGGCGCAGACGGGGAAAACAATGCTTCTCAAACTAGTATGTTATTCGTTTGTTTGTCTGCTGATTTATTTGACCAACACAGCAAAGGTGTATGTGTATATCGCTGTTTGCACTTTATAAAGCATTTATTACCGCTCGTTTTTTTTTTGTTGTAATCCGGCCAGTAGCTACTGGTCCACAGCGATGGATGGCCCTCCGGCTTGAATGGAATTTTTCGCGCTGCGGAAATACCCAACATGTGGCTCACATACACCCAAATGCACTGACACACTGCGCGAGAGCTAAGTTTTTATGACTGCTTATTTATTTACTCGCTGTGCTCGCTGGGTTTTCCACCTGGCTGGATCGCACCAGCTCCGCCCTGCATCCTTATTCGCATTCGCATCCGCATCCGTATCCTTGTTCGCGCTCTGCCTTTGGCCATCGCTGACATTTTTCACACATTTTTCCCAGTGCTCGCTCTATGGCCCTCTCGTTGTGGCACTGCACAGCCCCTCTCTTTCGTCCTTGCCAAACGAACCTGTTGTGATTTTGCCTTCAGCGACAAACTATTCGCATACAGCAGAGAGAAAATCAATAGGAACGTCTAATCGGCTTATATGTTTTATAACTTTATAGAATAATAATGGTTTGACTTTGTCTGGAAGCCCTTCACATATATTGTACACTTTTATTTAAGCTTTATAGAACTATTTACTTTAAACATTGATTGCTATATTTTTGGCTTACGCTGTATGCGCGTAAGTCAGCCCAGAATCCTTTTTAACACCCCGCCTGCCACCGCCGTCATAACGCCTCCCCCTCAACGTTCCATTTAAGCACGTGCGCTTTCATTTTATGCTCATTATTAATTAACGAGTTATTTTCCTCGCCCGGCGAGGAATATTTATACATTTTAAATCGATTTTTCCGTTCTTGACTGCCAAAGCATCCGCAGTTTTGCGGAAATTGCACAGTTTGATGGCCATTGATATGGCATATAGCAATTAGGCCGATGGGGTCGCCGTTTTTCGGGTCAGTTTGTGGTCACTTCACGATGACCCCTCCATCTGTCTCGCCCTATGGCCTCGGTGTCCTCTTTCAACGTTCACAATTGAAAACCTGCTGACTAATCAGTTGCAGACACTGACAGCCCACAAACGCTGCTGATGACCATGATGATGATGGTCAGTGGCGTGCCAAAAAAACGTTATTCGTAGGAATAGGGGCTACTTTTGGATATATTTAGAATGTTAGATTAAACACGTATAATTCTTTAACTGATAAAGAAAGAAGTTAAGGTAACCTTTTAAAACCTAAGAATAAAAACTGTTGGTCCCCTCTTTGGGGCGCCCTTGCTGACGACACTTAATATGGCGATGCAATGCACTTGATGTGCATTATCTACGAGTTGTAGTTGTGTGCTGTGCATTTGTGCTGCCTGCCAAACTGTCACTCTGATGTACGTACCCTTCTCTTGCCCATAACCCCACAAATCTGATCCGTTACCCTCCTCCTGCCTTCTTGCTATATCCACTCATCTCGACATCGACATGAACATCGGCTGACAACAATCAATGCTTGATGACATTTCACTTTCTCGGCTTTTTGTTTGGTCCAATGGGAAAGTCAAGTAGAGGTGAGATTTACTGAAATTGATTTAGATTCGTTTTCGGGTTTTGTGTTTTGTTTAGTTGAGTAACCGTTTGGCTGTAAGATTTCGATTTTTAGTTTATTTTACTTGGATTACTTTAGAGGAAAATAGAAAGAAGAAGGTATTAAAGTATATAATAATAAATAATTACGTTTGGGAATTCCCCTAATAATTAGCGGACAGTACCACTCAAACTGTATGTATTAACCAGACGACCAGAGAATTCCGCCTGATTCTTCTTTGGCATGCGAACCATGTTTTGGATTTGCGGCTTCATGTTTGGACTTGGGGACCTCAGACTTCAGACTACAAACTTGGGATCGCGGAATCGGGCTCGTTTTTATAAATTCTGGACACGCGCATGCGCAGCATTTTTTCTGCTGCTGCTGTTGTTCTTTTTAAGTTTCGCTGTGATGCCTTTTCACTACTGGCTTCGTTGAGGTAGGACTTGGCTTTGGGTATTAGAGAGAAGAACAACAAAATGAAGAAGGGTTCTTGTTTTGTTTACAGGGAGCGGGAAAAGGGAAATGGGAGCTACCAAGCTGGTCACTTTCCCATGGGATACAAAGAAAATCAATTAAAGGTGCCGCCATTAACTAATCTCTCTCTCTCCTCTCTCTCTCTGTGTCTATAGCCATCTCACTTGCTCGGATGGCTAGCCAAAAATGTAATTAAATCATTAATTTCCTGTCGTTATGAGGCAGCCTTGGCAACAACAAAAATAATGGCCCACATGGGCTATTACAACAACAACAAAACTCCCTCTCAAAACAGCAGAGTTTTCCTATATCAAATTTTTCAGTCCTAGGGCAATAGTTTATTTAGTAATTTACTATAATATATGTATACTATTTCCTTCACTTAAAAAATATCAGACAAACTACTTCAAATCTATTTCAACAACTTAACCATCTTTGTAACTGCTTGCTAAAATGTCAATGACAACATTAGATCAAGAGTCCTTGAGCTTGGATTTCATTTGCCGAGGTACAACTGTAGAACTGTAAGAGGAGGATTGGTAAGATGTAGAAGAGGAGGAGTCTGGAGCCCGAAGGGCTTGCAAGTTATTTGTAGGGCAGCAAACTAAAAAGTAAAGCGCATAAAAAAGTTGGAAAGAATATACCATAAAAAAACATATTTGTGTTGCCATGTGTGGTACACACAAACACACGAGCTTGTAACTTGAGATAAATCCGTTATAATAACTCTGAGCATCTGTGTTGTGCATATCTATGTATGTATGTACATATATATTTGACATGTATTTACATACATATGCATATACAAAAATGTGGATGCACAGCCACATACACTCAAAGTTCAAGTGTGCTGATTTTATCTCTGGGCCTTTGGAGGATGCTTCCCACTGTATCTTTGGAGCTTCTGTTCTTGTCTATCCCCTCATTCTCCCTTTGTATCTTCTCTTCTCTTTCTATCGCAGGTAAGCCAAGCAATCAACGTTTTGTTTGCCTCTTGTTTTTGTTTTGCTTTTGTTCAGCGAGTGTACGTAGGTGTGCGAGCGTATGTGTGTGATTGTGTGTTTTTGAATCTCTTCTATATCTTGCCTGTTACCTGTTGTCCCTTTGCTCTCTCCACAACATTCGCTCTTCATTTTCCTCCTTCAGCTCCTCCTCCTACCAGTCTTCGTTCGTCATTAGCCTGTGCCTTTTTGTCGGATCGCCAGGCAGCGAAAGAGCAACGAAAACAAACGAAACTTGAGCCAAAAGGGGGGACGACGTAAAAACGGAATGGTGGGCTGTAATCATTCAAAAATGCAACGAAAAAGTTCGGCATTTGAGGTTCTTAAATAGCGTTTGTTTTCTTATGAATTTTTTTTATTTAATTTTCCTTAGGTATAAATAGTAAGAGTAGTATATTACACACTTAGGTATTTTATATATACATTTTATATTCTGAAATCAATTAAAAGGTAATTAAAGTCTTTAAATTCTTTTGGGACTGCCTTAGAAAGGTTTCGATGCCATCGGAAGGATGTAATATTATCGTACTTCCGGATTAAGAAGCACATGAAGATGCTTGGCATACACGTGATATGGTTATCTCAGATCAATTAATCAAGACAATCTGCAATCGATTATCTTGCCTTTTTCCCTGTGTAGTCTTAATTGGCCCAGTCACTTTTAATTGCTGACCCAGTAGCAAGTGGCGAGTGCCTCTCAAACGGAAATTAAATAATTATCGCTTAACGGCAAAAGGAAATTAAGCGGACTGTGTCTGTGGCAATCAATGTGGTCAGCAATCGAACGGTTGACATAAAATTGGTTTTGAATACAATTCTAGTTGACAACCATCAGAATATAAAAAATAAACACGTTTTCAAAAGTTTTCCTATTTAACTGACACAATATATGGCTTAAATATACTATTCTAATAAAAGGAATCCAACGTCCTTTCCAAATGACCTTTATTAACTCAAATCTGCGGTAAGTAAAGAAAAACAAACAGGAAGAATCAGATCGGGGGTTGATGAATTATAAGAATTTTACGTTGTTATTATTTCGGTTAATAGTGGATAGTTTTCTACCTGTACACTCCCCCAAGTTGTTATTTCGACTTTTCCATTTTTCTTCTGGCACTGTTAGTAGCTCGCTGTCTTATTCTCTTGGATGTTCCTGACTCATTCTCGGGAGTGCTACATTCTCACCTGAGGCCTCAGCTTCGATTTCCATCCCAATCTTGGGGCAAGGCTCTCAATTCTTCTGAGAAATGGAGAGAATCAGGCAAACATATACATACCTCACCGTTGAGTCACGTACCCACATACAAGCACCACTTTTTTTTTGTGGCACAATGGGCTTAACAATGTGTGCACGCATGTGTGTGCAGAAAGAGTACAAGTACGGGATATTTTTGTACCTCTTGTACCTGCTCTATAACTCGTCTTCCTCTTCTTCTCCGTCTTCTGTAGGGTTCATTTTAAAGGAACGAAAAAAGGGAGTGCCGACTATATGATCTTTCTGAACAATCCCTTTAAACCATGAAGGTTGTGAAATGTCAGGAGTTTTGGTTACATTTTTTGGATTAATTCACAAGAACAGATTCTTTTTACTGTACATATCTTCATTTAAATTAATCCAGGCGTAGTAAAATTATTTAAATTATTTATTTACATTTATTCAGTATATAC